CCTTGCCAGCCCGCTCAGAGATGTGTATAAGAGACAGATATTATATAGTTTTTAAAAAATTTTGGTTTTTTGCTCCAGGTTCAATCGAATGGTAGATTCCCGCAACGCCGATTTGACAAAACGACGTTTAATAAATTGGCTTCAGCGCCATTTTGTAAAAAAAAAAAAATATATATATATTTTTTTACTTCTAAAGACTTGTATTATTAAAGCCTTAAAACGAATTTTTTGTTACTTTTATTGTTTTCCTAAAAAAAACTCCCAAAGTTACCAATTGATTTTTAGGCGGTCAAGGTGGTGTAACCCCTTAAGTGCGTTCACGACAGAAGGTGACATTACGCGGATTACTGTATATCATTCGATTACGCGCCAAAATTTTTTTCGTCTTTTATCGTCTTCCTCGATTATCATGTATTTTTAGTTCTTTATCGTCGCACACTTTATCGCCGTAATGTGAGTGCAGCGGCTGGTTTATGTTTATAAATACATAGCACACGGTGATTCTTTCTTTTAAACGGACACGTACCGTGCGGCGTTCAATCGATCGATCAGATCCCGATGTGAGATATGTGTTTCATGTATGTACGCTGCTATCGATGTCGAGATTGCAGTTCTAGATAGTTAAATTCATGTATACATTCTTTATTTATTTAATATCACAATTCGCTGTATTGTCATTGCTATTAACATTCCTCATGACATTTGTCCATTGACATTTATTATCGCTCTGAATTTCAGATTTTTATTCGATCTTCAATATCTTGAATGTTTGTTTTTATGGCAGATTTTATGATCAATTTATAGGACAGTTCTCTTTAGCATAAAATATCCGATGTATATGTTATGTGTACTTGTATTTAAATTACAATTTAATTCAAGTTAAATCTACATATTTGAATGATTTTGTTATCTACACAGTTAGAAAAAATTCAACATTTTATGTACTTCAAACTGTCTATTTAAATTTTTGTATTAATTTAACACAAGATGAATATGTTAAAAAGTAACACAAATATTATATACAAAAATGAACGTAAAAAATGTAAATGTATCACTGATACAACTTGTAAGCAAACTGTGGAAGCATATTTTTTCACTAAAATTAACATTTATGATATATTAAATTAACGTATTTTATTCATTTATGTTAGAATTTACGTTTTAAAACACATTATTTTTATGTTATTTGTTTATTTACTCATAAATTGTGTTTATTGTGATTCTAAAAAATGTTGAATATCAATTTAACACGAAATATTTAAATAACATAACCACATTATGTTAAATTACACTCGAATATATTAAAAATTCAACACAAAATTTTAACAAGGACTTGAGGACCATTTTTAACACAAATACAAAATATTTTTACTATGATTTTGTTTCTCTGAAGCTTTAGGTTTATTCGTGTTACGTACACTTTTTTCTCTCGGAGTCTTCGTTTTCTCTCTTTCTAGTACCTATATATTTATTTCGTTTTAATGTATTGAAATTTTTGGGGATGTCAAGTAACACGAACAGATAGTTTCGCGAAAAGTGCTTTTCTTTTGTAGTAACGCGGAAATTTTATCTTACATTAGGCAAGATTTAGATTCAGAATTGAGATTGCAAATTCTGTATATTAATTTTCTTTTGGTATAAGTATAGCAATTATGTGTACACTGCACTTGAAAAATTTGTGTCAAATTTAATACACATTTTATGTGTTTCAAACAGTTTACCTAAATTTTTGTATTAATTTGACATTAGATAAACATTTCAAAAAATAACAAATATTATATAAAAAATTAATATAAAAACGTAACATTGACACAATTTCTAAGCAAATTGTGAATATTTTAAACATTTAATATAAAAATTTTAAAAATCTATAAGTGAACCGTTTTTAATATAAGTACAAAATATTTTCTACTGTGTAAAAATGTTTCTTATCTTAATGATATATAAATACCCATTGCGCAATATCCGATGAACACATTTTTTGCAAAACATGTTCTTGACGTATTATTTAAGTCATACGCGGTCGAAAAAATAATATACCAATAGTTTTTATTTCTTAAATTATTATACAGCCTTGATCAAAAGTATAAGTAGATTTATATTTTTTTCGTTTATCTGGAATTTTTTACCTATTATATTGTTACCTATATAGGTTAGCATTTATACATACTCGTAAATTAAAAAAAAATTTTGAAAAAAATTTTAAGGATAACTTACAGCAAATGTTATAAATTAATTTTTGAGTTAAAACGTTAAATAATAATCATTAAAGTGCCTACTTTTGGAACTAAGGCTTTCTCATATCATATATGAGACATTGTGTAAATTTATTATTTTTTTTGGAGTAAAAAGAAACAAATTTTTTTACTTTGAAGTTTTAATAGAAAAAGGACACTGTTATTATATTCGTATAATAGATGATTCAGATTATTGGAGATGTGTAAAAAATATAGAAAACATTGTGAAAATATTGAATTCAAATGCTAGATAAAAAAATTTATTTTATAAAAAATAATTACAATTAAATTGATTTGAATTACCATTAGCATCTTCAAAAAATATTATTTTTTCTTTTCTTATTTTGTTATGTAAAACGAACAATTACTCCATAAATTATTAAAGGAATAATAATAATATTGCCCTTGAACTATATACAGGGTGTTTCAAAATTATCGAATTTTCTTTTAAATGCAGATTCTGTGGAATATTCTATTGTAAGACGAAAATTCTAATATGAAAATATCGATGCTATAAAAGTTTTCATACATTGCATTTTTTGATGTGTTCAGATATTAATTAATTATGTAATGTACAAATAGATTTCGTATAGAAAATAATTTCTTAATAAAAATGTTATTGCATATTTATATTATCTCATTATTAAAAGGGCCCTCGTAATAACACTTTTACCATTTGTCATCGTGCCTGAGCGCACGAAATATCAGTTCTGTAATTCGCGAACTTTAACCGCTACTAATTTAAAAACTGTTATAGCCTCGACATTTTTGTATTAGAATTTTCGTTTTCGAATATTCTAAAAAATCCACGCTTAAAAGGAAATCCGGTGGTTTTGGAACATTCTGTTTAGGACATCCTGTATACAATATAATTTCAAGTCTTTTAGCTGATACAAGTTTCTTTTGTACTATAATTACGGCTCTTTACGAGATATTGCTACGAATACTTATCAGTATGCGATATTGTCAAGGAGAATACTGTTTCGAAGTAATGAGCTTTATAACAGCTAATAGTACCTGTTTGTAAATTTTTTTTCTCTGAAAATTGTTAATTTGTTTGCTTACACTGAATAAATAAAAAAATCCATTATGCGAGTCTATATAAGATTTTAGCTCTGAAAAATGAAATAAAAATATTTTATAGGAATGGAATTGTTAGGTGTTTACTTTTCTCATAGAAGCTGGTTTACTTGATTATCCGCCTGTTGATTTTAACGCACATTCGAGATATTTTTAGCATAAAATTACCCAAAATTACAGAAAACGCAAAATTTTAACGTATACGCTTGAAACGTGATATTTCAACGTTAAATCACGCTTAATCGCACGTCTCAAAGTACTACACGGATTAAATTCTGTTATTCGGTTGTATTGCAATTTCAGATATATCGTCGCGCATAACTCGCGTTTTACACGTCGTTATCGTAATCTAACCAAAGATTAGTCGTTCCGTTTTTTATGTATTACTTAAATTTAAATAATCAATTCTTTTATTATCAGCTCTTTAAAAAGAAGTCTATATTTTTTTTCGAGTTATCTTATTAATAATATAACAACATATGTAAATGTCTTAGAAAATTTTTATAATTATTTTTTTCTTATATGAATTGATACCATATTACATATAGGTACGAAAGTAAAATAATAATTTTACTTAAATATATTTTCATATGTAGAAATTAACTTATGTAAGAAAAAACATATTTTTATTTAAAAAAAATAGAGATTGATTTTGAAATCTTCGTGTCTCCGTTCACTGTGAAGATGTTTTAAGAACTATTATTATCATAACACACATGCCTCTCGAATGTGTACTTGCAACAGTTAACGGAACGCATACAGAGTTAAAAATTTCCTTATTCCAGATGTCTCATGATCACCATAGTATGGGAAACGCGTCCCATGAAACGCACATGACTCATATGAGCCATGGTAGCATGAACCATGAAGGCATGGACCACGGGGGTATGGACCATGGGAACATGAATCACGGAGGTATGGACCACGGGAACATGAATCACGGTGCCTCGACGGACAACGCGTGCAGCGACATGGGCATGCACGGTATGTTGGTACGTATGACCCGGTCGTGCAAAACTCGATGCCGTTAACGTACACTCTGCTCTTCGCGGTTCTCAGATGACGTTCCACACCGGCTACTGCGAGTCGGTGCTATTCGAAAACTGGAAGATCTCATCGATAGGTGGCCTCATCGGCTCGATGATTGGTATCGCTATCATGGCTGCGCTCTATGAGGGCTTGAAATATTACCGGGAGTACCTGTTTTGGAAGACGTACAACGCCCTGCAATACAGGAGCGTTACAGTGCCCAATGAGAAGAATGTGGTAGCCGAGGATAACCGGGTCGTTCAGTAAGTTCTCTAATTCCTTTCGGGTGATCCAACAAAAAGTATCGCTTCTTATTATTCTTGCTTGTATTAGAATATTTATTGATATTATTTTATTATGTGAATAATCTGTGAAGAATCCTGAATAGAGAGTAATTAAAGGATATAGTGAGAGCCATTTATAATGAAGGGATATTCACTTATAATACGTTCCAAAATCAAGAGGCAATATTTTTTGCAGGCTTACCAAGCGGATAAATGACACGCATAGTTCATATTGTAAATCTAATCGTTGAAATCTGCTTTTTTAGTATGGTTGGCGAAGTAATCCACAAACAACCGTAAGTAAATCTTACGAGACACTGAGATTTTCTTTCAGAATTATGCTTTTCGTCTATTAATACGATTCTATTATTTACAACATGAATCAACTTGTAAATAACAACAGTAATAGCAGTTCAGAAGTGTTAAGAGATTTTACGGGTTCGTGAACATTGCAGTTTACTTCATCCGGGCTAGAAGCAACTTTCATCAAGTTGCTTCTCGCCCTGATGAAGTGAACTACAATGTTCGCGAAATATTGGCATTGTTGATGAATCAAGATACAGAGAGAACTGGGTGCCTCTTAGCATTTTTGAAAAGAATACCAGCCCGTAGAAGCCCTTAAGAGCATAATAACAGCAATTATTTATCAGTGTTAAACAGTTTGTGTGTATTATTAAAACACGTGCATGATGTCTCTTCTTTAGAATCCTTTGATGGATAAAAAATACTATTTGTTAAATGTTTTCTCTCAATATAACTGTTTTATCATTATTTTTATACGTTTGCCATATGTTCTTTTATTTATTAAATTAGGTTTTCAGAGTGGAATGTGTGCACGCGTATTCAATATATTACATTTAGTCACAAATACTTTCTGCTTGTAACGAGTACATACTAAACAGCACGATCTCTAGCTGAGTGACTCCAAATATGTGACGCTATTCTTTAAATAAAAAAGTTCTTATTAATAAAATTGAGTTATTTTTTCTGAATAACTCAATTTTATTAATAAGAACTTTTTAAATAAATAATAAATAAGTATTTGTTACTTCTTGGTCGCAAATTATTTAATATATGTGCGTGTGTGTGTGTGTGTGTACATACACAATTAGTTTATTAAGTAATTTGCGATCAAGAAGTAACAAATACTTATTTTATATATATAAAACTCTATATTATGTTAATCCTAATCGGTATTCGCGGATTCAGTGGACCCGGACATTTTTTCAATTACGCGCCAAATCTCCAGCGTTGCGTTGTAAAAATTTGTTTACAACGAATGTTTTTCACAACTTTACATAATTTTAAGTTACACAGATTTATTTCTTGGATTTTGATCTTTAAAATAAAAAAATTGTTCAGTTAACTTTAAGCAAAAATATATTAATTTAAAGTTTCATCGAGTACACTGGACCCACAAATACAAATTAAGGAAATACGATTTCCGAAATACCGATTAGGTTAGTAATCTACGTTATAACAATTTTAACATAATATAATAATTTTGATGTTACACTAATTTAAATAAATTCCGCTTTTTGCTTTATATACTAATAGTTTTGCTACAAATAAATAGATGTCGCAAAAATCTGTAAATTAACTTTCGCGTCTCGCGATAATTATGCGATTTTTAGTGAATTTGGACATAACGAGCCGTATTTATCTGTGCAGGCCGACTATGATGTCCTGGATGCATTTGTTTCAAACGTTTCTACACATCATACAGATCGTCCTGTCTTACTTCTTGATGCTAATCTTCATGACTTACAATGTCTGGCTGTGCTGCGCCGTAGTATTGGGTGCCGCCGTCGGTTACTTCCTGTTCGGTTGGAAGAAATCAGTGATCGTAGACGTTACGGAACATTGTCATTAGCATTTAGTAAATTGTTCCAATCTATCCTTCCTAAACCGTACTTGCGCGAAAGTGCGCGCGCGACTGCATTCTGACGGAAATCCGAAAAATAAGAGGAGGAACGGAAATTAACAATTACATTGCCTTTTGCGTATCGAGAAAATACGCATGGAGAATTCATGTTCTCTGAATTCATGACACACAGTGGATATATAAAATGTAGCAGAACGCGAGAGGGAAAAAAAGGGAAAAAAATTATTTATTTTAGTTTCATAATTTAGTTTCTAATCTCTTATAATTCTTTGTTTTTATCTTAAAAAGATAATGTAAGCCAATTACTCTTAAGTTATCTTTGATCCAATATTTGAAATAATTCTATTATACATAACATTTAATATTATAATATTACAATATTATATTTAATATTTAAAATTTTATTACATGAATTCCACAAAGTGGAAAAGATTTTGTTAAAACGATTATAACGCAACTCACTTCTGTGTCATGAAATAATACAACTTCATAAGAAATCATTGGGAGCTTGAATCTTAGACGTATATAAGTGTGGTAAACTGTAAATATTATTAAGATATTCGTATAAGCATACGCTGTCCAATGTGCACACTTTTTCCCATTTTTATATTTTTATTCTTAATTTTTCTTGTTATTCTTTTATAAAAATATTCCTTTATATATCATCAATATTTCATATTTGGGAAAAAGTGTACCACACTATTTTAAATAATTGTAAAAACATTGTTAACGTATTATTACACGTTGACATGTAAATTGCTTGTAAAGTATCATGAAATATAACCTCAAATATGAAAAAAAAAGAGGAGAAAGTTTAAAAAGATAAAGGAGATTATAATTCCTTTTCTCTCTTTAATTCCCACGTTATAAACTCTTTCATTCTTATTACTTATTATATCATCTGTCGGTGTTCATTTAGATATTTTTACAAAACGTTCTTTTCAGACGCAAATAGTAGGTACATACAACCGAAAAAATGTTTCATGAAAAAAGGGATATATTAACCGATTTACAAGAATACGGCGATTCTTAAACAAGCAGAGTGTAAGTTTATTTTTTTTTCCTTGCAAAATCCTAGAATTATAAAATATTAAGGCATACACACACACACGCACACACACACACACACACAAATATATGTTATATATATTTTTTACATAGATCATGTACATACGAGAAGTGCCCTTGTTTACTAAATATGTAAAAATAATAAATAACGATTGGTACGCGCATTCTTCACAAATAAGATTTTTATACAAGTGCAGCAGTGTATCCCTTTAAAAATAATTTATAGATTTCGTATAGAGATTTGGCGTAAGAATGCCTGATTTACGGTAATTACGAGGTGGTCGTCACATTGATATGATTAGTTTTTAATAGTTTTTATGCTCTTAATATCCTTAACTATTATTATCATTCCTATGCTTTATCATAAATTTATATATTCCACATATAGCCATATATAAAAAGCACCAGCATGCATATTTCATACGCAATTAATCCGAATTGTGTCATTGGCAAATCATTACATACTTCCTTGTACTCTGTATGTGAGGCATTTCTAAAGAATCAAGTACCATCTGAACGAGATACGCGGAACTATAGGAACGCATTGTATGAATCGGCGATCGCGTATAAAAAGCTTCATTTTCATAATATCAATTTTGTAGGGAAATCGTAAGAGGCATTGAATGCAGAATGTTCCAAGAGCAGAGGAGCATATGCTGCATTTTGTACAAACATCAAAATCGCATATAAATATGGATATTCAAATAGCAAGATCTCGGTTAAATAAAAAAAATCACGTTGCGTTTCAATGCTCTCAGATGCACGTCACGAGAATAAGGCAAATTTAGAATTACAAAGCTAAAATTACAATTTATGTCTATCACTTATGTAATATTAAGTTAATTCATACTTATCGTTCTTATTCTTATTATTATCATCATTATTACTTTATCACAAGCCAATGGTGTATGAAACACTTAAAATACTGTCGGTAGCTTAAGAGCTGCACAAAGCGTTGATAGAATAAGGACGTTTAACCTGATATCTTATATCATAAGGTTGTATTCTGGAAAGATCAATCACAATATATTATTTGTCTTATATACGATCTCTGTGATTCGAGTATTTCGTTTAAGATTCATAAGATAATATAAAGCCTGTAAAGAAATCGCTCGTTCATTGCTAATGATGTCCTAGCGGTTCATTCTTTGGAGATCTTAAGTGGTCTTAAGTAAAGAATTTGAAACACAATATTATATCTCCTCTCATTTACACACAACCGATGCAATTCCAGTGTCAATAAAGAAAGTTCACCATATAATGAAGAGAGTATTGTTGACACAGGCAAGAGATTCTCTTCAAATTACTTTGTTAGACCTAGAAACAAAGCATGCCAAGAGTAAAGAAACCGATATTCTAAGTGTAACTTGTAAAAATATCTATCTCTGAAACTGAAAACCGAAAAGAGATTACAATTACTAAAAACTTTTTCTCAGCAAGCCCACTCAGATTTTCTACGGACTATAAACTTTTAAAAAGAATTGTGCATCTTACTCTGTAAATATGCAAAAAAAACACACAGGCCAAACAAATAGAAATAACCTCTTACAGTTCTACTGCGTAACGTGTATCCTTATAGATCCTAAATAGAGTAAGCACCGTTTCTACGAGTTCGATAGTGTGACGTGGTGTATATCCCTTCCAAACATAAAGAAAACTTTAAACGATCGTTCCAGAAATGTCTGGTTTGCGCATCACATAAAGACCGTATATCTCGTGTCTATCTTCTTTATCAGCCATTTCAATTATCTCGTCACAAATGTGGATCTTGAGAAAAATGTTACCATGCATTATTACAGTCGGAACATAAAAAAAAAAAGGAAAATTGTGATAATCACAAAAGCTGTGACCTACTCGGTGCCGGGCATGCAGCAGCTCGTACGATGCTGGGACTGCTGTTTAGACAGATCGACAGTATCCTCCACTAAAGGCCGTTCTAATCTAGCTTCCAGCCGCGCCCACGCATCAACCGCCGCCCCAAAAGCCGCCTCGACATTAGTGGCGTCTTTCGCCGACGTTTCGACTAACGGGGGACTACCGTTCTCTGAGCACCAAGCTTGAGCCTCTTCCGTGTAAACTTGCCTCTCGGATTCGGGAACGTCCACCTGTAAGGAAAAAAAAAGGTCGTTGCACAACACGATATACGATTACTCGGTAGAAATCCTGCTTATCTTAGTCTCCTGGACGGCATACCTTGTTGCCAACAACGATAAATGGAAAAGTGGAGCCCTCCTGAACGTCCGCGTACTTGAGAAATTCGGATCGCCATAGCGCCAGATTCCTGAAACTCGTCCTGTCGTCCACCGCGTAGGTGAGCAGGCAAATGTCCGAGCCTCTGTAAAACGGCGTTCTGAGAGTCTTGAACCTCTCCTGCCCGGCCGTGTCCCATATTTGCAACGTATACGCCTCGCCGTTGATCTCGATGTCCTTGTTGAGAAACTCGACCCCGATGGTGTGGAAGCTGTGCTCGTCGAAGTGATTCGACACGAATCTGTTCATGAGGCAGGACTTGCCGACACCACCGTCCCCGAGGATCACCACTTTCAGAAGGGTGGACCTCTGCGAGTTTCGATTCTGCAGACTACTGCCGCCCCTACCCGTACTCACCGACGTCGTGCTGTTCACCGACATCTCGCCAACCTAATTATTTCGCAGTTTCGCGCTAATTATTCTCTCCTCGCGAATATCTTAATTACCTGTATCTTAATTAACACGCGTAAAATTATCCGGCGCGAACGGACGTTTCGCTCGACAAACTTTTCCCAACGTGCGTGTCACTCAACAAGCATTCATTCGAGCCTAGTCGAACCTTAACGGCTTCTCCGATCAGCTGATTTAGAACTAGCACTCCTCCTCAGAGATCAGAGCTCGCCGAATTACGTGTCGAACATAAGGCCTCCTTTCATGTATTTACCCGTGAGATTTCTCCCTTCTTTCCTCTCTTCGCGCCTCTTCCACTATCTCTCTCTCTTGTTTACATTAAATAGCTGGCGCGCAAGAGACAAGAGTATCCTTATCCTCTCTCTCTCGATTTCGCTGCATAACCTCACGGGTTACGCGGCACGATTGGCGCGAGTCCCTCATCGATCACACGAATTACGAAGCTCCGGCGAACGGTGGACCGTCCACGGGGTCAGCGGACGAGTTCGCGCGTCCGGGATCGCATTTTCGCGACTTTCAATTCAATTGTCGCGCTCGGGGCGCGACGAGAAACTCGTCCTTTGTTGCCGCGGCACACTCTCCGCACTCTCATGGAGCAACGAGGACGGGCAAGCGGCGTTGACGCGCTCGTCAACAAGGGCAACGCATTTCCGAATCTCCAACGGTATCCTCAATCGCGTGCGCATCGATTTCCGGTTCTAGCACCACTCGATCGACAAACTCCTACGGCTCTCGAACATCTCCGGCCGGGCGTTCGCCCTCGAATCTCGATAGACGATAGACGACAAGAAGCATCAAGCAACGCCCGTTGGCCGTCTCTCACGGGGCGGTCGACGGGGGGGAGAGGAGGGATCATCAGGCGAGGTGGTCCTCGTGAACATGGCTACCCGCGACTATAAATAATGCCAGCCGCCTTTACGGTTCTGGGAATGTTTATGGACGTTGCACGTAATTCGGATAATGGGGATGAACGAGTGTTGGCTGAAAAGCGTACAAATGTCGACAAGGAGAAAAAATTCATTTCTGAATTGTTTGTTGAATTATAGTTCATTATTACGCGACCTGTCATTTATATTTATTCTTTAATCTATAGTGGTTCTAATTGTAAACGCATGAATGATATACATTATACATATATCTAAACGCGCGATAAAAGATTATAAACCTCTTCTTTTATCTGAATATCTTCGTATGATTCATCTTTTCCTCTTTCTCTCCACATTAGAGAAAAAAGAGAGAAAAGTAACGGCGCAAGAAAAGTTAAAGTGAACAAGCCTAGGGTGAACAAGAGATTCGAATACCTCACTGGGGCCGTGTTCGGAAACATTATTCGAGTGCCCTTGTTTATCATTTTATCTTTTTTGTTCACCGAATATTGATGAAGGATAAAATGATACACGTACGAAAGCATTCGCGGGCAGAGAAATTCTGGATCTACAATTAATAATGTGCTCTTTGTATCAAGTTTCTTGCTTTTTACCATTTTTTACCACCCTTGCCTTATTTAATTGCCTCTTATATTCCTGATTCTTCATTTTCGTCCGGGATAAATGTTGATGAACTTCGGAAGAGACAGAAAACACATGCAGAGAGAAGCATGAGAGCGGCCATCCCGGCGTTTTTCGCAACACCCATGGTAGAAATGATTCGTCCTCTCTGTCTGTCGAATGATCGACGCATGCGCAGAGAGAACGAATATTACTCATCTACCTTTCTCTCTCGCACACATCTAGGACACAGTTTTCGAGCCAACATTCCCCCTCCATGTCTTTATACTCATATATACATTTAATATATATTATATTATATTATATATATTATATATATATATTATATATATAATATTATATATATTATATATTATATATTATTTATAT